TATTCCTTTGAAAGTCAGGCACCCAATCAGGTAGTGCAGGGACATTTTTTTTTTTCTGACATGTTGTTGGGGCTAAGCAAATTGCTTAAAATCAAAATTACATATTACACACAGAGAGATACAATTATGACACTTTCAGAATCGGAACTACTGCTATGGAATTTTGGCAAAATACAAGGACACTAATTTGGACTATTTAAGAAAAGGGTTATATCCGTGGACCATCATCATTGTGGGGAGCAAACCGGACTAGACTGAGTTACTGGAATTAAGACTTATTCTATGCATCTGCTCTCCCACAATATGGCGCTGGGAGAGAAGTAAACAGCTTCCGCACAGCTGCCTCCAGTTCAACCAATAAACTGTAGGACTTGCTACTGATTGGAGGAGAGCAGCGTACTCGGTGTGTGGGCAGCCGAGTTGGGATTGGCGGAGGAGGACTATAAAGGAGGAGAGAGACGGCATGCACCAGGAACATCTAAGGGGAACATCTAGCTGAAGGAACACCCGTGCAGCCCCCGAGAAGAGCCGGCCGGCGGTGTGCCGCTCCCCTGTGGAAGTGGGGAATGTGGCCAGGGGGAACTGCCCTTCCACGGAGGTGGAAGGGATAGTAGCCAACCCGGGAAGAACCAGCAGCAAACCCGGGGAGGGCCGAGCAGACGAAAGAACAGCGCAGGGTCCTGTGTCGTTCCTCCACGAAGAGGGGGAGTGACATGATGGTGCCGTGACTTGGATAGGAAGCCTAGGCAGGGCTTAGTGTCGTTCCCCCACGAAGACGGGGAGCGACAATCATCATTCCCCATCCGTGGAGAGTTATGGAGCTTCAGTTAGTTTCTGTGATATACTGGATAGAACAGCATGAAGTTGGAAGGTTCTTTTGAATATTCTTTAAAAACAAAGATTTATTTATTTATTTAAAATTCAGAGAGAGGGTGAGAGAGGTCTTCTACCCACTTTTCAATGGTTCACTGCCTAAATGGCACAATATCCAGAGCCGGGCCCAACTGAAGCTAGGAACTCCATCCTGGTCTCCCACATGAGTAACAGGAACCCAAACACTGGGACCATTATTCGCTTTTCCCAGGCTCTCTATCATGATGCTGAATTAGAAGCAGAGTAGCCAGGACTCAAACTGGTATTCTGATACTGCATTCTCATATTGAAAGTGGCGGCTTAGCCCATTGCACCACTATATTGGCCTGATTTTTTTCCTTCTAAGCCATTGGAGAGTCTGTGGCCCTATCCTCTGAATTATCCATAAATATCTGCCTTCAAATTAACATGATGAGAATCACTCAAAGCTATACCACCTGTATAGAGAAGAGGAGTTATAATAAATCAACTAATGAAGACTTAAAGCAACCAAACAAAGGTCAGAGTGGAAAGGACAGGGACATGTTACTAGTTAGACAATCATCTTTTGTTTTCCCCCACTGTATTCATCAACATAATCCTTCATTGCATGAAATAATAATGGATTGACAACCTATAATTCATTCAGTCATTTCCTATAATTTCATTGTGATTCTACTAATTTTTAGCTATAGTTTCAGGTTTTGAGGTACAGAAATAGTGTTTCTGAACACAGCCTGTCAGAGAAGATGGATAAATTAAACTGTTTTTGATAAAATGCAATATGTGTTAAAATGGAAATTATTTTTCAAATACTAGTACCTACGATAAATGAAGTATAAATAATGTGCTAATTTCTTTTTGAAAAGCTTGTGTTTTAACTTGTCTGAGAGAAAACGCTAATTCTAAATTTAAGTAAATTAACTTACTTAAGAAATGCCTTAATACTATACTAGAAAAGACAGAAGATTTACTCAAATCTTTTTTTTTTAATTTTTACTTCTTTATTTATATAAAGGGATTAGATTTCATGTATTTCATATATAAAATGTGAAGAGCATGATGATACTTCACAACCTGCCCTTCCTCTCTCCCTCACTCCTATCTTACTTTTTCTTATTTTTCTTTTATTTTTTACAGTGATGTATTTTCAGTTTACTTTATAATCACAGCTTAACCATCCACTACATAAAGAATTCAACAAGTGGTAAGTTAAAAAAACTGCCATATTTGTGCATGCAGTTACAGATGTAATAATTATTATAAGAGATCCTGTGTATACCTTGCCCTATTACTCCCAGTAATGGCATAGTAAAACCAATACCACAGGGGCTGGCGTTGTGCCTCAGCAGGTTAACGCCCTGGGCTGATAGTGCCAGCATCCCATATGGGTGCTGCTTCAAGACTCGGATGCTCCACTTCCCATTCAGCTCCCTGCTATCGCCTGGGAATGCAGTACAAAATGGCCCAAGTCCTTGGGCCCCTGCACCCATGTGGAAGACCTGGAAGAAGCTCCTGGCTCCTGGCTTTGGATCAGTCCAACTCTCTCCATAGTGGCCAATTGGGGAGTGAACCAGCAGATGGAAGATCTCTCTCTCTCTCTCTCTCTCTCTCTGCCTCTTCCCTCTCTCTCTAACTCTGACTTTCCAATAAATAAATAAATCTTTTAAAAAAATGTGCCAAAAAAAACCCCACAATGCCACGACAGCGTATTCACATTGATCAAAGTAAAGATGTTGAAGAATACTTCACCACAATGGTACATCTTATTATCCTTTTAAAATTAAAATGCTCTCAGAAAAATTTAAAAAAAGAATCAGATGAATTTATGGAATTTCATGTGTTATTTCGATACACATATGCATTGTTAATGCCCAGGAAAGGTAAATTGATATTTTTTCTTTACTTTTAACTTTTATTTAATGAATATAAATTTCCAAAATACAGCTTATGGATTACAATGCACAGTGACTCCCGTTGTTGACTTAACAAATTGACACTCTTGTTTATGGCCTCAGTAATCACCCTAGGCTCTTGTCATGAGCTCCCAAGGCTATGGAAGCCCCCTGAGTTCACGGACTCTGATCATATTTAGACAAGGCCATGGTCAAAGTGGAAGTTCTCTCCTCCCTTCAGAGAAAGGTACCTCCTTCTTTGATGACCCGTTCTTTCCACTGGGATCTCACTCACAGAGATCTTTCATTTAGGTGTGTTTTTTCTTTTTTTTTTTCCCCAAAGTGTCTTGCCTTTCCATGCCTGAAATATTCTCATGGGTGTCTCTATTATTGCATTTTCTTTTCATTATGAATAAGTCTTCTCTGAATATTCATACCTAAGGCGTTGTGTGAAAATACACTTTTATTTCGCTGAAACAGTGCAGAGCATGCAATTTGCTGCAGGTTTAGTTTTAAAAGAAACCTCCAAATTATCTCAAGAGTGGCCTTTACAGTTTACAGTGCTATCATCTCTATATGGCTGTCCCAGTTTCTCTACATCTTCACAGCATTTTTTTTTTTATTTTTTTATTTTAGACATTTTGATAGTAGTATAGTGATAGGTCATTTGATTTTAATTTAATTTCCCCAAATAACTAGTGATATTGAACATCCTTTCTTTGTTGATTTAACCACCTATTTTCTAGATTCTGATTGGATTTTGTCTTTTACTAAGGCATTTTGAAAGTTCTTCATAAGTTCATCACAAAAACATTTTAATCAAATAATATGGCTTACAAAAATTTTCTTCCAGTCTATAGGCTGCCATTTATTTAATTTTTTCCTGAATGATATTTTTAAAAGATTTATTTATTTACTTGAAAGAGTTATACAGAGAGAGAGGAGAGGCAGAGAGTGGGAGAGAGAGAGGTCTTCCATCCGCTGGTTCACTCCCTAAGTGGCCACAATGGCAGGAGCTACACCAATCCGAAGCCAGGATCCAGAAGCTTCCTCCCGGACTCCCATGTGGGTGTAGGGGCCCAAGGACTTGGGCCATCCCTCCTTTCCCAGGCTGGATGGGAAGTGGAGCAGCGGGGACTTGAACCAGCGCCTATATGGGTCTAAAAATTTATTAACATTAGATTCTTAGTGTCACAGCAAATTCATGATAATCACTGTGACACAATTCTCATCAATTGTCATGTTAATGTGATATTAATTCAAACTGAACAAATTCAGTATAGTTTATACATACAGTTCTTTTTTTTTTTTTTTGACAGGCAGAGTGGACAGTGAGAGAGAGAGACAGAGAGAAAGGTCTTCCTTTGCCATTGGTTCACCCTCCAATGGCTGCCACAGCCAGCGCGCTGCGGCCGGCGCACCACGCTGATCCGTTGGCAGGAGCCAGGTACTTATCCTGGTCTTCCATGGGGTGCAGGGCCCAAGCACTTGGGCCATCCTCCACTGTACTCCCGGGCCACAGCAGAGAGCTGGCCTGGAAGAGGGGCAACTGGGGCAGAATCCAGCGCCCCGACTGGGACTAGAACCCGGTTTGCCGGTGCCGCAAGGTGGAGGATTAACCTAGTGAGCCGCGGCGCCGGCCTTATACATACAGTTCTAAGAATATGAGGATCCTTCTGTTTTGGATTACAATTTTGTAGTCAACTCTAAGAACCCTTTGCCTAGCATAGATCCAGAAGATTTTCTCTAGACTTGAACAGGTCAGGGAAAGCTGCTGTCCTTGAATCTGTGTTACTTGCCTCTAATTTTGTAAGAGAGAAAGAAAAAGTATCTGTAGTTTGTATTTAATGTTTAATCTGGGTGCTCAAATCCTGCCTTGGCCTATTTTGTTTCTATAATTTTACTTTAGAATAGGTAAATGTGCATAAGGGGCTAGTGAGGGAGGGTTGTGTATATTAAAAGTGTTTGTTAAAAATCAAACGTCTATGGGAATGTCAACACATTTAAGGCATGAATAGGTAAATTGAATTACTTAAATGAGTATCTACATTAGTGTTAGAAATGGGATCAAAAACAATTATGCCTGATGATTTAATAACAATGAAAAATCATTCAACTTCTGAGCATGGTATATGCCTTAGGAAGATGAAATACCATCTTAAATCCTTTCCAAAAGGGAACTAAAGTGGTACTAAAATCAAGCTTTCTCATTCATTTGTTGACAGAACTTGTCCTAATTTTTTGTTTTGTACTTTTTTTCCCCTTGAAAACCCAACAAACAATTGTCATTTTTAACAGTAAGCAGCATTCCGTTGATAATACAAGAATGATTTTATTCTAATAAATATAATGTGAAAAAGTTTACTCTATAACTAGTTTCTATCCCACAGAAGAGTTTATTAATTTTCCTCTTTTTAAATAGTATATAAAAATATTAAATAGGGGCCAGCACTGTGTCATAGCTGTTAAAGCCACCGCCTGCAGTGCTGGAATTCCATATGGGCACCAGTTCGAGTCCCGGCTGCTCCACTTCCAATCCAGCTCTCTGCTTTGGTCTGGAAGAGCAGTGGAAGATGACCCAAGTCCTTGGGCCCCTGTAACCGTGTGGGACACCCAGAGGAGGAGAATCCTGGCTCTTGGCTTTGGGTCTCCACAGCTCCAGTCGTGGGGCCATCTGGGAAGTGAACCAGTGGAAGGCAGATCTCTCTCTCTCTCTCTGCCTCTTACTCTCTGTAACTCTGCTTTCAAATAAACAAATAAATCTTTTAAAAATATATTAAATCAATTTGGTTTATAAGTATCATTTTGTGATTTTCAAATGAATTCCTCTAATGTTTAATGATAAGAAATATGTTAATCTTTGATTTGAGATTTGTGATTTATATGCTACTTACCGCAATCACAAACTTTAAAACTCAAGAATGTTTATAGATTTTATGCAATGTCATTTTTATAATATAGCCCTATTTTCTTCATATACGATTTTTAATATTATGACATTTCTAAAAACCATGATGACTTTGTAACTCCAGAAGTAATCTTCCCTTTTTGTGGAATATAATTATTATTATTATTTTTTTTTTGACAGGCAGAGTGGACAGTGAGAGAGAGAGACAGAGAGAAAGGTCTTCCTTTTCCGTTGGTTCACCCTCCAATGGCCGCTGCGGCCGGTGCCCTGCGGCCAGTGCACCACGCTGGTCTGAAGGCAGGAGCCAGGTACTTATCCTGGTCTCCCAAGGGGTGCAGGGCCCAAGGACTTGGGACATCCTCCACTGCACTCCCGGGCCATAGCAGAGAGCTGGCCTGGAAGAGGGGCAACCAGGACAGAATCTGGCGCCCCGGCGGGGACTAGAACCCGGTGTGCCGGCGCTGTAAGGCGGAGGATTAGCCTATTGAGCCGCGGTGCTGGCCGGAATATAAATATTTTAATACACTACTGATACTCATTTTATGATTGTTACTTTAATAACTAATAAATGTAACTATTTTTTCTGAAATTTTCTTTTTCTGTGAAAATTTTTTTATAGTTTGGCTGACACTTTTATTCTAGCTTCATAAAATGCTTAAAAAGTGTCCTTATTATAGATTTTGGAAATGTTTAAAAAGGCTGAAGCATTTTTTGTTTATTTTTAAAATTTAACTTTTCAAAGAAGTAACTTAACAATCATTTTTATAGATGTAAGTTACTAATTAAGTTTCATTGGTTGTAAACTATCTTGAGATAATAATATTGAAATTTTCTCATTTTTCTTATGATTACTGATTAACTCAGATATATTACCATTTTTTCTTAATGAATTTAAGCATTTTAGGGGAGAATTTTAAATAACACATCCTATTTTATTTCAAATAACTAAACATAAAACTCTAAATTTAACTTTATCTTCATTATAGGAATTGTATTTTCAAGAAGACTTTACATTAGATATATTATTCTCAATATATAGTTTATCACATTATAGAAAAAAATTTCACTGCAATTCATAGTATATTGAGATTTTGATTTGCCAGTATATGACATATTTTTACTGTCTGTAATATAAAGACTTCCCTAGGCCGGCGCCATGGCTCAGTAGGCTAATCCTCTGCCTGAGGTGCTGGCACACTGGGTTCTAGTCCTGGTTGGGGCGCCAGATTCTGTCCTGGGTGCCCCTCTTCCAGGCCAGCTCTCTGCTGTGGCCAGGGAGTGCAGTGGAGGATGGCCCAAGTGCTTGGGCCCTGCACCCCATGGGAGACCAGGAGGAAGCACCTGGCTCCTGGCTTTGGATCAGTGCAGTACAATGGCCGCAGCGCGCTGGCGGCAGCGGCCATTGGAGGGTGAACCAACGGTAAAGGAAGACCTTTCTCTCTGTCTCTCTCTTTCACTGTCCACTCTGCCTGTCAAAAAACAAACAAACAAAAAAAAAACAAAAAAAAACAAACAAAAAACAAACAACTTCCTGTTTACAATGCCCACAATTTAATGAACTTTAATTAATTGAAGGATATAGATTATACATTTAATTTTTAAATATATTTTAATCTGTTGGTTATAACCATATTAATTCTTGAATAACCTCTCTCTTGTTGCATATCTTGTCAGCTAAAATAGAATATTACAAAAACCAGTGACAGTCACACGTGAATTTTATTGAAAACAAGCAAATGAGAGGCAAGGCAACCAATCGGGACTGGCCACTGATCGGAAGCAACACTCCTTACCAGAGTGTGGCCCTTAACAGTGAGTTACACAGCTTTTTATAGTATTCTGTCCACTAGGACTCACAATTTCAAACTGAACCCCTGCTATGCAATGAACAATAAAAAAAACCTAGTGTATGATTATAAGATAATAGTTAACAATAATAAACCCAATAACAGATCCAAGATATGGTTGTAAGATAGCAGTGAAGGACACACTTCTGTCAGCCTAGTTCCTGGGAACTTGGGCCCACTTGGTTTCACAAAATACACCCTTAGCCATTAGCAAGCAAAGCTAATATGTACGGAAGCAAGAGATCTGCAATTAGCTTTTAGCCATACTCACTCCATTTTGATTTTGACTCTACATTCTGAAGATCACATGCCTGCTTTCTGGCTTAAAAAGATTACACATATGTTTGATGGTTTCCACTCGAATGTGATTTCAGTAATTAGTTTTTCAAGTATTTTCTCATGGAATTCTTGCCTGAGTGGTAAGGCAGACCTTTTAGTTGCTTACCAATGTGCACATGTGCTTTCTTTCATCTACAAAAGGTCAATGAGGTGGCAAGAACGCATGCTTGGTGTTTTGTCCATTCTTCCTGTCTCAGGTTTAGAGTGTGCTATTTGAAAGGGAAATAGCATCTTGATGCCCTGAAGACCGTCAGGAATCTAGGGCAGTCAGAGTTGAGTGCCCATTTAAAGTCTTTCATGAGATTTTAATCAGGAAGGCGTTGTGGACTGGGTTCCTATCTGAAGGCTCAGCTGAGGATGATCCATTTCCAATCTTACTCATGCTTCTTAAAATAATTCAGTTCCTTAATCGGTGAATGAAGGTCTATGTTTTTCACTGGCCCTTCCTGAACAGGCAGGCAGTCCCCTCGACAGGGAAACAGCAGTGTCGCTGCCTTAACTCAGAGGAAGAAAGAAACAAAATTTCCAAATAGGAGCCAATGTTTTTGTAATCTACCTATCAGTAGTTATGCCACAAATGGGGTGCTGCAGCATGGTGGGTAAGCCACTGCCTGCAGTGCCAGAATCCCGTATGGGCACCAGTTTGAGTCTCGGCTGCTCCACTTCCAATCCAGCTCTATGCTGTGGCCTGGGAAAGCAGTAGAGGATGGACCAAGTTCTTGGGCTTCTGCACCCCTGTGGGAGACCCAGAAGAGGCTCTAGGTTCTTGGCTTCAGATCAGCCTGATTCCTGTCATTGTGGTCATTTGTGGAGTGAACCAGTAGATGGAGAAGTCTCTCTCTCTCTCTCTCTCTCTCTCTCTCTCTCTCTCCCTTTCTCTAACTCTGCCTTTCAAATAAATGAATAAATCTCTAGAAGAAAGAGGAAGTTATACCACACATCTCAGGGGCATTCCGTATGAGAGCCAGCCTTTCACTCCAGCAAGGGGTAGGTAGTGATTATACAAGGTGTAAATGTGAGGGACAGGTCTTAGAAGATGTCTGCTCCAAGAAATGACACTTCAGGCTTAGACCCTCAATGTCATTCCGCTAGCTGGTGAGAGAAGGACATTTAAATTACTGATCATCTATTTTATTAGGTTTTCTCATAACTGCCATCAGGAAGATGATAAAATCATGCTACATAAATCATTTTAAATAGATCCGTTTGGGTATTTAAAGAATATTTGAAAGATCATTAACTTAGTCCCTGATAGTATCATTCAGTAGCCACTAGTCCTGAAATCATACTTCTGGAATTCTTGCTATATGATCCCTATTTTACACGCTCCCCCGTAAATAAAGAAGAAAATAAATAAATAATCATAGACTCATTAAATAACTGTAGCTACCCTGGATGAAAACATAAAATAATAAAGCTGCTGTATTCTCTGTGTTCTTCTATGTCTGAAAGCCTGATACCTTACCCTACCTGAGGGGCTTGGTTCTCTCTCTTTATCTGTCTTCTCCCTTTTTTTCCTTGCTGTGTTTTAAATAATGTAGTTCTATTCACCATTTTTGTTAAAGTTCCTGAGAATTACTTATGGGCAATTTTTAGTACCTTGATTTGGTTTTGTACAATGTTGAAACTGATGTTTAATGTCCCTGCAAAAAGTTTGAGCATGTGTGTCTATATCGGGAAGTGCGTTTTCCTAAATTACTCATCTCAGGTTCATTTTTTATAAATGCATTACTTTCAAAAATAGTATAGACAGCACAATGTTGGAATTGTATTATCTTTTTGTCTCATCTTTATTTTCTTCCATGAGATTTACTTTGCTCTGATATTTTAGAAGGGTGTACTTATGTATATAAAATATTAATTACTTAGTTCTTTCTTAAAGGATAGAGGTCTACATCAATATTAGGGATCAAAATTTGTTTGTCGGGGCCCGGCGCCATGGCTCACTTGGTTAATCCTCCGCCTGCGGCGGCAGCATCCCATGTGGGTACCGGGTTCTAGTTCTGGCTGCTTCTCTTCTAGTCCAGCTCTCTGCTGTGGCCCGGGAGGGCAGTGGAGGATGGCCCAAGTGCTTGGGCCCCTGCACCCGCGTGGGAGACCAGGAAGAAGCACCAGGCGCCTGGCTCCGGATCGGCGCAGCGCCGGCTGTGGAGGCCATTTTTGGGGTGAACCAACAGAAGGAAGGCCTTTCTCTCTGTCTCTCTCTCTCTCTCACTATTTATATCTCAACCTGTCAAATAAATAAATAAAAAAAATTGTTTTGTCAGATATTCTTTTCACTTTTAGTTTCAAAAATTGATGATACTGTGCATATCAGGGAAATTCACTGCTTTCCCATAATTTCTTTCCTGTTTCAATGAGAATTCAGGATGCTCTTGCATTCTGTAAAGATTTTACTATGACTATTGAAACAAATTTCCTCAAACCTGATGGCTTACAACAACATAAATTGATGCTTTCACAGTTTTGGAGGCCAGAAACTGCCTGAAATCAAAATCAGTCGTTCAAAATCAAGGTATTTGCGGGCCTGCACTTGTGCGAGACTGTGGGGCAGCATCTATTCTTTGAGCTTCCTCCTGGTATTCCCTTGGCTTGTGACTGCATCTTCCCTTCTGATTGCTTCCTCCTCTGTATGTTAAGTGTCCTTCTCTATACCTGCTCTTGTAATTGCATTTCTCCAATAACCGAGAATAACCCTGCTATCTCAAGATCATTAATATAATCACACCTGGAAGGCTTTACCACAGAAGAAGTGTTTATAGATCCCAGAGATGAAGCACACAGGCACAACTTGGAAGGCTCTAATTTAGCCTATCATAGACACTGAATTATTTTCCTTTATGCATTAATTAATGTATTCTGCTCTATTCACCACTTCATTTCTACTGAAATCATTACCATTGCAATCTCTGGTAAGCACCTGAAGTACTTTGATTATGCTGTAAACACCTTCCCTTACTGCCTCATAGCCTTTCTTCATTCACTGCTATTACTGTTTTGAGCTGAGAATTTTTTAATGATTCTTCTAGGGAATCTCATTGTTTATTTCCCAATGCTTCTTTCATTCACATGCTTTAAACTGCAGGTGGGATGGCCATTCATTTATTTACTCATTCATTTAAAAATACACATCAGCACTTTCAGCATTATTCTGGGTCGGATTTGCACTATATTTTACGGAAAATTCTCAATTCATGACTGCTAATTAAAACCTTTTACAATTTCCACTGATGGAGAGGATGCACAAAAGATTTGCCTCTATTTGAATTATATTTTTTATCATTTTGTTTGATATAAAAAGAGAGGGAAGCTAAATGCCAAAATGTGTACAATTATTTTTGAAACAGAAGGACAATTCGTTTATTGAAGTAGAAAAACAGAAGTGATAATCATGACAAATATGAGTTGGACCCACAATGGTAACCTGTTAATTTGTGCTTTGGGAAATTATTTCCATGATTACTGGTACTTTATTTTTAAATTTCTATTTTGAGTTAATATAGCTTTATTTTTACAGAAAAGCTCTACAAATAATGAAGAGTTTTCATGTACTCATTACTCACTTTCCTCCCTGTTGACATCCTACATTTTCATGGCAATTTATAAAACCAATAAATCAATGTTGATACCTTTCTATGGACTAAACATTAGATTATTTTTTTAATTCAATTCTTTCTCATGAATGTCCTCCTTACATTTCAGCACCCAATCCAGGTTGCAACATTGCAATCAGCTGTGAATGTCTATCTAGACTTTTCTGATCACTGACAGTTGCATAGTCTTTCATTAGACTTATTTACTTCAGTAGATTACAGATGTCCTGTCCAAATATTGTTCAACTTGGGTTTCTGTAAATTTATTCTCTTGATTAGATTAGTTTTAGCGGTTTTTGAGAGAGCACCAGAAAGATAAGTTGCCTTCCTCATTACTGCATTTTGGGCATTCCATACTATCACATGATATTAGTGGTGATGTTAATCTTCCTCATTTAGTTAAATTTTTAGCCAAGATTATCTACTGTAAAGGTACTTTCATTGCTTTCCTGTACTCAGTCATTGTTTTTTTAAGATTTATTTTATTAATTTGAAAGGCAAAGTTACAGAGAGAGAAAGAGAGAGAGAGAATCTTCTTTGATCCACTGGTTCACCAACAAATGGCTGCAATAGTCAGGGCTGGGCCAGGCTGAAGCCAGGAGCCAAGAGCTTCACCCAGTTTCCCAAGTGGGTGCAGGGATCCAAGCACTTGGGCCATCTTCTGGTGCTTTCCCCAGGCCATTGGCAGGGAGCTGAATGGGAAGTGGAGCAGCTGGGACTCAGAGTAGCACACACAGGGGATGCTGCAGTCTCAGGTATTGGCTTTACCCACTATGCCACAACACTGGACCCATATTCATTCTTCAGAGAATTAAGCTCCACACCCTGAAATGGGAGAATACATACAAATGCTATTTGGTATTATTTGGTAAGAATGTTTTTTTTTTGGCCAAATTTATAAATTATTCAATCATTTATTTATATCTTTCTGGACTCAGATAGAAATAGAAATAGATACACACACACATATATATATTTAAATTTGGGTGTATTTCTGTTATATTCTCATATTATCATATGTTTATTGTGCTCATATTCTTTCAGTTTTGGGCATCACTAGTTCTTCTAGGTTGGTTTTTGAGTCCTTGGACTTTTTGCATCCTTTTGCTTTTCAGAGAACTTCTTTACTCTTTGGTCCTAAGAGTTGTTCCAGATTCACTGTGCTTTCTGCACTATAGAAAAAGAATCAACTGTTTCTCCAACAGGAATATAGAAATCAAATCGACTGTACTACATGCTGTTAGGGTGTCAGTACTAGCCTGTGTATTGGATTTATACAGCTGCTTTAACAAGGTGGCACAGTCTGCTCCAACAGAAATTTACACAATATAAATTTATTTTGTCATACCTCTGGGAAAATAAAACGAAACCTAAAAGTAAGATCGAGGTGTTGTCAGCTTCGGTTTCTCTCAAGGCCTATTTCCTTGCAGATGGCTCTCTGTTCACTGCATCCTCACATGTTGTTTTCTCTGCGTATGCATTTGTCTCCTTACTGTGTGTGCCCACATTTCCTTTTCTTAAGACACACCTTGATGACCTCATTAAGGTACTAGAATTTAGAGGTAAAACATATGCCTTTTGGAAGGAAACACTCAGTTCATAATAGTGTGAATTCACATGTGTCATAATTTACTATTCAATACTATATACAGAAATATATAATATATAATGCAATGTAAACAATCTATACCCCTAACTGATTCTTTGTCTATTGCCATGTGAACTCACATGTTTGAGCTAAAACTGTGCTAAGTGTCTAGCTGGAATCAATAGTGAAAATATTTTAAATTTGGTAAATTAACTAAAAGCTTGATAAATAATGATCACTGTCATTGCATTGTAATGCAGGATGTTTCCAAAGTGTCTTCTAAATAGTTTTTTTTTTTCAACACATTTTGTATTATTCACATGTGATTTACTTATCAGTGTTGTAGATTTGAAATGCTTAATGGTACAAAAAGCTCTACAAAAAGATCAGTATAGGTCTAGAAACTCTTGGAGTTGTGTATATAAAAATCTAAAATATACAGAGTCAGTGCCTTTACATTTTTCTCTCACGTGTATTGGAATGTCCTCACTATGAAGCTAATTACTTCACAAATGTAAGATAAATATTTGAATTACTATTCAAGACTAGAGATACAACAATTATCAAAATACTTCAACAGATTTTATATTCTCCATGGATGGATCATAATTTTTGTTTTAGAAAGAATGACCACTTTATCAACATATTTATGGCTAAAAATTAAAATTCCAAAATTAAAATGCATTCCTAATTTATTGCAGATGACATTAGAAATAAAAAATAATGGCTATCTGGAAAATCAGGAAGCAGGCAGATATTCAATGTTTCCATTCTATTTCTGCATCCACTCCCTTTCTTCCCTGGGACCTTCCTGTATTCCTCAAATGGAGTCATGTTATTTCCTCTCTACTTATGAAGAATTTCCTAAAAAATTTTTGATAAAAATTATTGCTTAAGCTTGAAGAGTGCTAGCAAAATATTGCTTTTACTATTACATTTTTAGAAGGTTATGGTTTAAATTAAAAAAATTATATGACAAAGAATGTTGAACAAAAGCAAATTTTTATTTTCTTTGCTTCTTTTCATGGCAGGAGAAGGACACAGACTAACTTAGCATTTGCTCTGGTATGTCACAAATGCTTTTTTCCCTTTGCCCATATCGGGTTAAATAGTGCCCCTTACAAATTCATGTCCACACAGACCCTATGGATGTGGCCTTATTTGAACATACCTTCTTTGTGGATGTAATCAAATTAAAATGAATTTATATTGGATTAGAGTATTTTTTTTTTCTTTTCACAGGCAGAGTTAGTGAGAGAGACAGAGAGAGACAGAAAGAAAGGTCTTCCTTCCGTTGGTTTACCCCAAAAATGGCCACCATGGCTGGTGTGCTGCGCCAATCTGAAGCGAGGAGCCAGGTGCTTCCTCCTGGTCTCCCATGAGGGTGCAGGGCCCAAACACTTGGGCCATCCTCCACTGCCTTCCCGGGCCACAGCAGAGAGCTGGACTGGAAGAGGAGCAACCAGGACAGAATCCGGTGCCCCAATCGGAACATGAACCTGGGGTGCCGGTGCTGCAGGCGGAGGATTAGCCTAGTGAGCCGCGGCCCCGGCCTAGGGTGGGTTCTAAATTCAATATGACTGATGCCTTTATAATAAGGAAATTTGGCATTCAGAGAGGAGAACATCATGTGAACATAGAGACAGAGATGGGAGTTATATGCAAGCCACAAGACACAAAATTTCACCAGCAACTGTCAGTCAGAACATAGAAGAGGCATCTTTGTTACTGCTACCCTGTAAGCTAAAACAATGGTTATCTCTCTTGTGGGGAGCAACTCGGACTAGACTGTTACTGGAATTAAGACTTATTCTATGCATCTGCTCTCCCACAATATGGCGCTGGGAGAGGAGGAAACAGCTTCTACTCAGCTGCCTCCAGTTCAACCAATAAACAGCAGGACCTGCTCCTGATTGGAGGAGAGCAGCGTACTCAGCGTGTGGGTAGCAGAGTTGGGATTGGTGGAAGAGGACTATAAAGGAGGAGAGAGACAACATGCACGAAGAACATCTATCTGAAGGAACACCTGAGCAGCCCCGAGAGAGCCGGCCGGCGGTGTGCCGCTCCCCTGCGGAAGTGGGGAAAGTGGCAGGGGGAACCGCCCTTCCACGGAGGTGGAAGGGACGGTAGCCAACCCGAAAAGAACCAGCAGCAAACCCGGGGAGGGCCGAGCAGACAAAAGAACAGCACAGGGTTTAGTGTCACTCCTCCACGAAGAGGGGGAGTGACATCTCTGATCTGATAATGGAGATTTTAGATGGAAACTGATTTTGAGATATTGAGTAACATGTTCTACCTTATGTAGTTTGGCAAAAATAAATTTGAAGTTGCACTAAAACTTAGCTTTTTGAATGAATTTTATAACCTACCAAGCTAATCTTTTTAGAATATCTAAGTATTTGATATAAAGGGAGCTAAATTTAACTCTAAAATTTCTATGAATATGCAATTTGCTCATGTGTCCACATGCACACTTTCAAAGATGTCATTTTATAGCTAATAAATGTGAATAGTTTAATTAGCCTCATTGAAAGACTGGAGGAATTATTAGGAGGAAGAATTCAGAGTATAAGTTTAAAAATAAATGACATATCTAACAAATTTGGAGGGAGAATGAACAGTTAGAATGAAAGGAAAGAAAAGTTAATACCAAAATTAGGTTATCAACACTGGGGAGCAGAGCTGACGCATCTGAATCATGTTCCTGTACAGAGAGTGGAGCAGATGGCATTTCAGACCTCTTTGAACAACTCTGTTGGTAAGAAGAAGAAGGAGGAATAAAAGGAAAGATAACATATTTATGCTGGCATTAAAGAGATGACAGGCACTTTTGGTAAAATTGATCATTACCTCAGTAAATTGTTTGCTATATTGGGAACTCCATAAGAAAGTGTTATGATTTAATGATTAAAGGTCATGGTTCTTAAGAAGTATCAAATTCCAAATTAAAAGCCCTTACTATTTCTCTTTCTGTAAATTAAACCATGTCTTTTTTTTTAAGAGCTTTCCTCTGCACAGGGCAAAGTGGGTTTGAATACAGAGTTACAGAGAGAAGTAGAGACACACAGAGAGAGAGGTCTTCCATCTGCTGGTTCACTCCGCAAATGGCCACAAATGCCAGAGCTGCGCCTATCCGAAGTCAGGAGCTTCTTCCGGGTCTCCCACGTGTGTGCAAGGACCTAAGGATGTGGGCCATCTTGCACTGCTTTCCCAGGAACATTAGTAGGGAGCTGGAGCAGAAGTGGAGCAACAGGAACTACCTTCAGCACCCATGAGGGATGCAGGCGCTGCAGGCTGAGGCTTTAACCAGCTGCACCTCAGCACTGTCTCCCGTGTCTTGTTTCAAAAAGACTTGCTCAACTATCCCTATTTGTTTCCAGTATGTTGTCTGTTGCTATTTTTGCTCCAATCATCTTGTGGTAGTGCTATATGAATCATATAAAATTGCTGATTTGCAAGATACAAAGTACTATGACACTCAGATGTCACTGGAAGGAATGGGGAACTATTCTTTCATCTGTTTTATGATTGGCAAGCCAATAGCCAACAGTCAAGTAAAAAATCAAAAAAAGTCTTATTTTATACTGAATCTTTACATATAATAGAAATGAGAAATGACAGATAAAATAGGTTATAATTACCACATTTATATAAAACATCAAAGAATTTTTCCCAAGGCACATTTCTGCTCTACTCACCTTTCTATATATGTTCAGTGTCTTCCCAACTCACCTCTCACCTATTTCCTGAGCCTATCCAGGACCTGGATTCCAAGATGAATGAGAACTCCATTACAAAACTCCACCAAAAGATGTGTCTTTTGTTTTAAGGATACTTCCTAATGTGATTGCTATTTTTAGAAATAAATAGCAGGTGATAAAGAGCTTAGTATCTGTAATCCAACACTGAGTAGATTTAAACTCTTATTCCAAAATGTACTTTGACTTTGTAGTAATTTTCATCTTCCATTTTCTTCTTGGTTCAAAAAAAATCTCACACAAACATGTTCTCTGACTGCATTTGAATAAGAAAATCATGTGATAGATTGGCAACACAAAGCCCAATATTTAAACTATGTAGTTCTAAATAATATCACAGTGCTATTCCAACAGTCCAAACACATTTGTCCATTTTAAGCTATGAATTGCAGATGTTTCAGAAAGTAAAATAATGCAAAAAAATCCATTAAATGAAAAGTGAAAATTCAAGATTTATTAATATACGTTGACTGAAGGACCTTACGTATGTTAAAAGGGTTCATTGAAAAAAACATCTAAAGTGCTGAGCAAGACACTGAAATAAAAAAAAGTGAAGTTGAGGCAAATGGTAATGAGGAGAAAAATAAAATATGTATCTACTGAGCAGCTATGTGTATAGGTTGCTTTTGCATATAGTTTTTTATACTTATCAAAATTTTGTGGGTTATAATGTGATTTTTGCATTGTAGAAATGAAGAAACAGAGAAGTTATGCTTCTCATATAATTAATACAGAAAGTTTTGTGATTTTAAAACATATGTTTTTCTGACAGCAACACTTATATTAAAGATTGGAAGGGAATGATGTTGATATGAATGAGAAAATGAAATAACACAACAGCGAAGACTTCTATAAAGGCACCTTTTGCAGAGTAGATGAAATTTGGAGCTTAGGAAGCTAAACTACCATGGACAGAAATTATTGATGAGTTCTCCAATAACACCAAGAGATCTGTCATAAAAATGGTAAGGGCATTTAGAATACGTGCTGCTGATAGGAGCACAGGTAAGGACATTTAGAAGCAGTATGCTGTAGTAGAATCACTTTTAAGGTAAAGATGAGCACAAAAGTGGAGTTTTCCAGCTATTTTGAAAAGAAAGGCAAAGAAAAAGTTAATAACTTAAAATACTTACTTTCATTTTATTTGAAAAGCAGAGAGACAAAAATAGATACACACAGAGAGAGAGTGAGCACTTCAATCTGCTGCTTCATTCATCAAATGCCCATGTTAACCAGGGCTGGCCAAAGAGGAGCCTCAAACACAATCCAGGTTTTCCATGTGGGCAGCAGGGACCCAAGTATGAAAGCCATTGCCTGCTGCCTCTAAGGGTTCACATTAGCCAGAAGCTGGAATCCAGAGAAAAGCAGGGACTGGAACCTAAACTTTCCAATACGGGAAGAGGGTGCCGTTTCAAGCAGCATCTTAACCATTATTTTAATTTCTATTTCAAGGGAAAAATGGAAGTGTCAATCAAGTGACAAGAACATTCTCAGCAAAAAGAATATCATCTCAAAAACATACATTTGTGTAGTGATGTGATTCATTTATAGAACCATAAGAATTTTGCTATTATTTTGGCAGAAAAGTATCGGGGGGGGGGGATTTTGAGGTTTGGATTTAGGCAAGAGATAGGTGCTGGAAATCCTGGAATAAACTTAAAACAATCATGGCTAAAAATTATAAAGTAATTATTTCACAATTGTACCAATTGCATATTTTAAAATGTTTCAATTTTTTTTATTTCTTCTCTAGATTTAATTGTTTCTTCCCTCCTACTAATTTTGGATTTGGTTTGTTCTTGGTTTTCTAAGTCCTTGAGATGCATAGTTAGATAATTTATTTGATGGCTTTTCAATTTCAGGATGTAACACTAATTGCTATAAACTTCCTTCTTAAAACTGCTTTTGCTGCATCCCATAAGTTTTGATATGTTGTGTTGTCATTTTTTTTTTCCCCCACAGGCAGAGTAGACTGAGAGAGAGAGAGACACAGAAAAGGGTCTTCCTTTTTGCCATTGGTTCCCCTTC